GGGGGGGCGCAGCTGTCCCCTGGCGGGGGGGATATAGCGGGGGGGGGCGCAGCTGTCCCCTGGCGGGGGGGATATAGCGGGGGGGGGGGCGCAGCTGTCCCCTGGCGGGGGGATATATCGGGAGGGCGGGGTGCAGCTGTCCCCTGGCGAAAGGATACATCAAGGTGTGATCGGCCCATCTGCCCCCCGCAGGGAATGGGACCGCGGCCGGGAGCGCCGGAGCCGGGGCGAGTACCGGGACTATGACCGCAACCGCCGGGAGCGTTTCTCTCCCCCCCGGCACGAGCTCAGCCCGCCCCAGAAACGCATGCGCCGAGACTGGTGAGTGAACGACCCCCTGCTGGGCCGGCCCATGGCAGTCGAGGCTGGTCTGACCCATCAGGCGCACGTGCCACCCACACCCCATAGGAAGCTCGACTGTTACGTGCCCCAGGCAGAGAGCAGGCGGGGTCACCTGCCGGAGGGAGACTAGTAAAGGAGAGAGACCCAGATAATCCTGTGCCCCATGCTGCAGAGGAAGGTGATCCGTTAGACCCGGAGCGTGTGAGCAAGAACCAGCCAGCCAAGCTCCCGAGAGAAGGAAATCCCTGATGCTTCAGAAGAAGGAAATTTAAAAATAACCTCCCTGAATATATTGAGGTTTTATTTAAAAAACCAAACCAAAACAAAAACCTTCCTGACCTCATACACTGGCTGGCTGCAGCCCTGAAGCATGAGTGTTGGGAACATAAAGGGACCCCCACCGCTGCCAAGTCCGGCCCCCCACTAACACCAGCAGCCCGGTGATAAGTTTGTGCACTCTCTGAAAACTCCCGTAGCTAGTTGCCCCCACAACTCGCATTGGGAGGCAGAGCCAGAACCGCACCCCTCTGACGGTTAGAAACCTTTGTATTTCCCGCCTGAATTTGTTCCCAGCCAGTTTATCCAACGCTGGCCTTTTGCGCCAATAGCTCTTCGCCTGTCGTAATGCATTTCTAGAAAGCAAGCAGCTCCCGTTCAGTTTGTGAACCTAAACGAGTCAGATTCATCCAGTCTCCCCTCCGTCACCCTCATCGTCCTAGGGGCTCTTCTCTGCAAGTATTCACGTTCGAATGTGTCTTTTTTTGAACCTTGGGAGACCAGATTTGCGGCCGGTATTCCAAACGGGGGCTTCCCTCTGCCTTTTACAACGGCGTGCCTATTTCTCTCGCTGGGTCTCCTGGCCGTACCTGGCCCGATGCAGCCTAGATCGCATTTTTGCCATTTCCCTGGCCCTGGCGTGTTGGTGGCTCATTGCCCGTGCGCCCAGGTTGCTCTCCGCCTCGGCTGTTTCCGGCTGACAAGGCCCCAGGTTGTAGCAGAAATTGTTGTTATGGACTATTGAATTTCAGCCCGTTTCTGTCACTCCCGCCTTCTAGTTCTTCCTGTGTGCCGATCCAGATTTCATGAGTACTCTCCTACTTCTTGTGCTGAGCTCCTTTACAAAACTCCTGAATAAGCTCTGTCCCGAGACCGGTCCTTGAAGAACTCTTGTGAGTAGCCCCCCCCCCCCAGTCCGATAATTCCCCTTGCCACACAACCCGTTGCCTTCTCCCCTTCCGCTGGTTCCTTGTCTGCTTTCCAGTTCTTGCACTAATCCCCACCTTCCCTGATTTAACTCGCTTACATCCAAGTACACTGATCTATTCCCCTGCCCTTTTCTCAAAGGCAGAAAGCCGGATGATTGACCTTTTGTAAACCTGTGCAGCGTTATATCCCCTTTGCTGTTTCTCTCTCTCAATTCTTTCCTTCCCAGTTTGTTCTAAAGTCTTGCATACTAGTGAAGTTAGAATAAAAAGATCACCCCCCCCCCCACCACTAGAATAATAGAAGATTAGGGTTGGAAGGCCCTCAGGAGGTATCTCAGGTCCAACCCCCTGCTCAAAGCAGGACCAACCCCAACTAAATCATTCCAGCCAGGGCTTTGTCAAGCCGGGCATTAAAAACCTCTAAAGAAGGAGATTCCACCACCTCCCTAGGGAACCCATTCCAGTGCCTCACCACCCTCCTAGTGACATCGTGTTTCCTAATATCCAACCTAGACCTCCCCCACTGCAACTTGAGACCATTACTCCTTGTTCTGTCATCCGCCACCACTGAGAACAGTCTAGAGCCATCTTCTTTGGAACCCCCCTTCAGGTAGTTGAAGGCTGCTATCAAATCCCCCCTCACTCTTCTCTTCTGCAGACTAAACAATCCCAGTTCCCTCAGCCTCTCCTTGTAAATCATGTGCTGCAGCCCCATAATCATTTTTGTTGCCCTCCACTGGACTCTTTCCAATTTATCCACATCCTCCTTGTAGTGTGGGGCCCAAAACTGGACACAGTACTCCAGATGAGGCCTCACCAATGTCGAATAGAGGGGAATGATCACATCCCTCGATCTGCTGGTAATGCCCCTACTTATACAGCCCAAAATGCCGTTAGCCTTCTTGGCAACAAGGGCGCATTGTTGACTCATATCCATTCTTAAATGTAGGTACAACATTAGCCATTAATACAGTACTATCCTTGAATAGATACATTTATTAAAAATCTTTGCTACTAACCATCTCACATGCCAGTTCTTTCAGAATTCTGGGCTGGAAACTATCCGCTCCTCCCTGGTTTGAGCGCGTTAAACTCTTACGTTTTTCTTCCACCTCCGAGAGGGCGACTTCCCTTTCTAGACACACTTTTCCATCAGCCCGTACTGCCGTCATGCCCTCGTTCAGGCTCAGAAAGATTAGATTTTCATCTGCATGCGTCCATTTCACGGAGAGGGATGAAAAATCATTTCCATCGCTTATGATAATCGCAATTTACAGCTAGGCAAAGGAAGAAAAATACTACTTGAAAACTAGTCAGTTCGATGTAAGGATGTTTAGTTTGTATATTTGGTCACACAGCGTTGATGATTTGTGTTTTAACTAGGGCTGTCAAGCAATTAAAAAAAATTAACCGTGCAATTAATCGCGTTGTTAATAATGTGGAATATCATTTATTTAAATATTTTTGGATGTTTTCTCCATTTTCAAATATATTGATTTCAATTACAACACCAAGTGTACAGTGCTCACTTTATATTTATTTTTCATTACGAGTATTTGCACTTTAAAAAAACAAAAGAAATAGTATTTTTCAATTCACCTCATACAAGTACTGTAGTGCAATCTCTTTATCATGAAAGCTGAACTTGCACATCTAGAATTGTGTACAAAAAATTGCAGTGAAAAATAAAACAATGTAAAACTTTGGCTGAAGTAGGACTTGCAGGCTCCAATCGCTCAGACAAACACGTTTGGTTACAATTTGCAGGAGATAATGCTGCCCACGTCTTGTTTACAATGTCACCTGAGAGTGAGAACAGGCGTTCGCACGGCACTGTTGTAGCCGGCGTCACAAGGTATTTACCTGCTAGATGCACTAAAGATTCATATGTCCCGTCATGCTTCAACCACCATTCTGGAGGACATGCATCCATGCTGATGACGGGTTCTGCTCGATAACAATCCAAAGCAGCGTAGACCGACGCATGTTCATTTTCATCATCTGAGTCAGATGCCACCAGCAGAAGGTTGATTTTCTTTTTTGGTGGTTCGGGTTCTGTAGTTTCTGCATCTGACTGTTGCTCTTTTAACACTTCTGAAAGCATGCTCCACATGTCGTCCCTCTCAGATTTTGGACGGCACTTCAGATTCTTAAATCTTGGGTCGAGTGCTGTAGCTATTTTTAGAAATCTCACATCAGTACCTTCTTTGCGTTTTGTCAGATCTGCTGGGAAAGTGTTTGTGAATCAAACAACGTGCTGGGTCATCATCCGAGACGGCTAGAACATGAAATATATGGCAGAGTGTGGGGAAAACAGAGCTGAAGACTCAGAGACTTTAAGGTCAGAAGGGACCAATATGATGGTCTAATCTGACCTCCTGCACAACGCAGGCTGCAGAATCTCACCCACCCACTCCTGTAACAAACCCCTAACCTATATCTGAGCCATTAAAGTCCTCAAATTGTGGTTTAAAGACTTCAAGGTGCAGAGAATCCTCCAGCAAGTGACCCATGACCCACGCTGCAGAGGAAGGCGAAAACCCCCCAGGGCCTCTGCCAATCTTTTCGCCCCACTGCTCCCCTTGGAAGGCTGTTCCAGAACTTCACTCCTCGGATGGTCAGAAACCTTCGTCTCATTTCAAGTCTAAACTTCCTGATGGCCAGTTTATGTCCCTTTGTTCTTGTGTCCACATTGGTACTGAGCTTAAATAATTCCTCTCCCTCCCTGATATTTATCCCTCTGATATATATAGAGAAAGCAATCAGATCTCCCCTCAGCCTTCTCTTTGTTCGGCCAAGCAAGCCAAGCTCTTTGAGTCTCCTTTCATAAGACGGGTTTTCCATTCCTTGGATCATCCTAGTAGCCCTTCTCTGTACCCGTTCCAGTTTGAATTCATCCTTCCTAAACATGGGAGACCAGAACTGTACCCAGTGTTCCAGATGAGGTCTCACCAGTGCCTTGTATAACGGTACTAACACCTCCTGATCTCTACTGGAAATACCTCGCCTGATGCATCCCAAGACCCCATTCGCTTTTTTCAGGGCCATATCACATTGGCGGCTCATAGTCATCCTGTGATCAACCAATACTCCAAGGTCCTTCTGCTCCTCTGTTACTTCCAACTTGCCTCCCCAGCTTATAACAATAGTTCTTGTTATTAATCCCTAAATGCATGACCTTGCACTTTTCACTAGTAAATTTCATCCTATTACTGTTACTCTAGTTTACAAGGTCATCCATACCTGGTCCTTCTCTGTATTGGCAATGAGACCTCCCAGCTTTGTGTCATCCGCAGACTTTATCAGCACACTCCCAGTTTTTGTGCCAAGGTCAGTAATAAAAAGATTAAATAAGATTGGTCCCAAAACCGATCCCTGAAGAACTCCACTAGTAACCTCCCTCCAGTCTGACAGTTCACCTTTCCGTATGACCCATCGTAGTCTCTTCTTTAACCAGTTCCTTATCCACCTTTCAATTTTCATATTGATTCCCATCTTCTCCAATTTAACATACAATTCTCCCCCGAGGAGTTTGTCTCAGCGATCGGCTGAACAAGAAGAAGGACTGAGTGGATTTGCAGGCTCTAAAGTTTGAGGTTGTTTTGTTTGAGTGCAGTTATGTAACAAACAAACAAAATCTACATTTGTAAGTTGCGCTTTCATGACAAAGATTTAATGACAATACTTGTATGAGGTGAATTGAAAAAAACTAGTTCTTTTGTTTATCATTTTTACAGTGCAAATATTTGTAATCAAAATAATCATATCAAGTGAGCACTGTACACTTTGTATTCTGTGTTGTAATAGAAATCATTGTGTTTGAAAATATAGAAAAACATCTGAAAATATTTCATGCATTTCAGTTGGGATTCTCTTGTTTAACAGTGCGATTAATCGCGATTAATTTTTTTTGAGTTAACTGCGATTAATCGGCAGCCCTAGTTTTAACAATGATCAAGCTTCCGCTTTTCGAATCTCAGCCCGTCATTTCCTGCCACTGTGAAAATTTAAATGGATAAAACTTAAAATGCTTAAAACTCGTAATTTTGCGCAACTGTGAAAAATGTTAAATGATGCAAATTGGGGAGGAATGGTTAAAAACCCACTATTATCCAGCTGGACTTTTAGCCATTCTCGCTTCAGTCCTAACCGCTTTCTTTGCTGGTCATCCCCTGCTCTCTGCTGACTCCTCACTTCTCAGAGGTCGTTATTCATCCAGCCGGGCCTGGAGCCTTTCCTGACACGTTTTCCCCCCTTGTTTCAGATCACTTTTGCGTTCTGAGCCTCCTGGCGCTCTTTCAGCCCAGCCGACTTCTTCGACTAGTTCCTTTCATCTCCCCGAACGTGCCCGTTCAAAGTCAAAAACTGTCGTTGGGGGTTTTTGATGCTATGACACTGAAGTCGCTCATGATTGCTCTGTCCAGTCTGGCTGGCTTCTTTTATCTTGTGATTCTCACTGCACCTACCGTCTGCATGTGAAAGCGTTGACATTTTTTCCTTCTTTGTATTGTCCCCCAAGAATATTGGGGTACCCCATTTTTCATAGGGTTATGGTTTCTTTGAGTCTCATTAGCATTTACACACATTGGTCAGGGCAGGCGTTAGGGAAAAAATGGGCATCTTGTAATCCAAAATTAACCTGACGGTCAATTTTTCACAGTACACCTCTACCCCGATATAACGCAGCAAAGCAGCACTCCGGGGGGGGGCTGCGCGCTCCAGCGGATCAAAGCAAGTTCGATATAACGCAGTTTCACCTATAACGCGGTAAGATGTTTTTGGCTCCCGAGGACAGCGTTATATCGGAGTAGAGGTGTACATCTTTTCCCTGTAATCTTGTGGCCTAGGGTCATTCGTTGGTCACTTACTTATATCTGTGGCTTGCAACCTTTCCAGACTACCATCCCCCTTTCAGGAGTCTGATTTCTCTTGTGTACCCCCAAGTTACACCTCACTTTAAAATGACGTGCTTACAAAATCCGACATAAAACCACAGAAGCGTCCCCGCCACACTAGGACTGAAAAGCTGCTGACGTTCTCATTGTTACCATCTAATTACAAAAGAAATCAATTGGACGATAAAGACTGGACTTATTGTATGGAGCAGTATAAACAAGTCCGTGTCTGTAGGAAATTTCAGTTTGTCCTGGCGTCGCTAGTGCTTTTTATGTAGCCTGTTGTAACACTAGGCAAATCTCTAGAGCAGGGGTCGGCAGCCTTTGGGAAGTGGTGTTGCCAAATCTTCGTTGATTGAAGGTTTCGCGTGCCAGACTGGCAGCGTGTGCGACAGATGGAACCCCAGACCGGTTAGCCCCTGCCAGTCGCGCTCCTGGCCTCCGGCCCCGCTCAGCCCACTGCCGGCCCGGGTACCGTCCATCCAGGCCGGCAGCGGGCTGAGTGGGGCTGAGCGGGGCCGGCGGCCAGGACCCCGGCTGGCAGCAGCGTGCCACTAAAAATCAGCCCCCATGCCGCCTTTGGCACGCTTGCCGCAGGTTTCCGACCCCCGGGAGACCTCTGCGTACCCCCTTGGGGTATGCATACACCTGGCTGAGAACCACTGACTTATGCCAAGTGTTTCTTAACTCTAAGGCCTAGTATGACTAAACTAAAATCTGACAGGCCTTGCGTTTCAGCCCTATTTACTTAGATACCTAATCGATAATTAACCAACATAAGAACGGCCGTACTCGGCCAGACCAAAGGTCCATCTAGGCCAGTATCCAATGGCAGGTGCCCCAGATGAACAGGGAATCATCCAGCGACCCAGCCCCTGTCGCCCATTCCCAGCTGCTGGCAAACAGAGGCTAGGGACACCATCCCTGCCCAGCCTGGCTAATGGCCACTGATGGACCCGTCCTCCAAGAACTTCTCCAGTTCTTTTGTGAACCCTGTTCTAGTCTTTGGCCTTCGCAACTGTCACGGAGTGTGGGGGGACACAAAACCCTGCACCCCCAGCTTCCTGCGATTCATTGTGACTCGCAGCCAGCCAGTAAAGCAGAAGGTTTATTTCGACGACAGGAACACAGTCCAAGTCAGGTCTTGCAGGCACAGACAACAGGACCCCTCCCACCCCAGTTAGGTCCATCTTGGGGTCCCAGGGGCACCACAGCCCCATTTTGGGGGGGGGGGGCAGAGCCCCATCTGGGCTCCCTCCATTACCAGCCAGCTCCTGAAACTCTCTCCCCAGCCTTTGTTCAGTTTCTCAGGCAAAGGTGTCACCTGGCCTCTAACCCCTTCCTGGGTTTTCATGTTACATGCTCAGGTATTCTTCCTCAAGGCCAGTCTCCCATCCCCCCATGCAGACCATCCTAGCCACACTCCCCTGCCTTTCCAGCCAACACTCCCCACTCAGCATTCAAAGGCCACATTAAGAACAGCCCCAGTTCGTCACAGCAACATCCTCTGGCGAGGAGTTCCACAGGTTGACTGTGCATTGTGTGAAGAAATACTTCCTTGTGTTTGTTTTCAACCTGCTGCTTCTTCATTTCATTGGGTGACCCCTAGTTCGTGTGTTAGGAGAAGGAGTAAATAACCCGTCCTTGTTTGCTTTCTCCATGTCGGTCACGATTTTATCGACCTCCGTCCTATCCCTTCCATTAGTAATCAGTCTTATTCGTCTGAAATCCTGGAACTTAACCGTACTCAACATAAGATGATTGTACGTGACGTGCTAGTGAATCACGACATCACCCCATAAATGAACTAACTGGTTACAGCCTGGAGCTCTCTAGCAGACCCCAGCCTCGCCCAAAGTGACTTTGACCCTTCACCTATCCCCCCACAGGGATGAGCACAGCACTGACCCTTACCACAGCGGGTACGAGATGCCGTACAGCGGGGCCACCGCCGGCCCCACCTACGGGCCCCCCCAGCCCTGGGCGCACCCCGACATGCACGTGATGCAGCAGCACCATCTCCTGCCCATCCAAGCCAGGTAAATCGCCCACTTCCTGCTCCTCCCAACCTGCCTCCCCCACCTCGGCCTTCCCCTGCGCACACTGACGCTCTCGCCCCCCCACCCCACCCCAAGCAGACTAGGCAACATTGCGGAGGTGGACGTGGGCATTGCCCCGCCCGTCATGAAGAGTTTCAAGGAATTCCTGCTGTCCCTGGACGACTCGGTGGACGAGACGGAGGCCGTCAAGCGCTACAACGACTACAAGCTGGATTTCCGGCGCCAGCAGATGCAGGACTTCTTCTTGGCGCACAAGGACGAGGAGTGGTACGTCCGCCTCAGGGCACAGCCCCGGCTTCCCGTGCGTGCGTGTCCGTGTGCGTGCGTGTGCGAGATCCGGGCCGGAGACAGAACCAGACTGACCCAGCGGGGCCGGAATTTTGGGGCGTGGGCAGGAGGTTGAATTTCACAGTTCCGATCCAACGCCGCAAGGAGGTGGGGGGGGGGGGGGTCTGATCCGGTTGGACGGGTTGGGGGAGTCTGCCAGGCGGTTCTGATCCAGTGGAAGGGAGCTGGGAAAGCTGCCATGCACAGGCCAGCGGTTCTGATCTCAGGCCGGGGCGGGGGGTTGCCACGAATGGCCTGGTGGTTCCAATCCCTGCCGTAGAACGAAGGCCAACTGGGTGTGGCTATTCCTGGGCAGCTGGCCCCACGTCAGCCTTCCTTGCCTCTTCTGTCACCAGCTTCTTAGCTATTTCCCCGATCCCAGCTCTGGGACCGCGCCAGTTCCCGAGAGGTCTGTGGGGTCCGATCTCTCCTGTGGCTTCCCCATGGAAAAGGGCGGGGGGGGTCATTTTAAGCCCTTTTTGTTCAGTTTTGACCCCTCAAAACCCGGCTGTTTGCAGACCGCCTCGTTCATTTGAGCGAAGAGACGCCCCCCACCCCGTCTCCCCAGCCCGGATGCTCCCCGCGAGCTGATCCTGGCCCCCATCTCACTGGCCCTGCATGCGCCTGAAGGGGCGTTGGCGTTGTGGGCTCGCGAGCCGGGGTTCTGATTGGGATTGGCCCAGAGCGGGCAAGTGCTGAGAGAATATGGGAGTCGGAGCCAGCCCTCCCGATTCTGACGAGTGGCTCCCCCTGCCTCGGTTTCCCTCTCTGTAAAACAGGCGTGGTTTGTTGGACATGTCACAGTAGTGGCTAGAAGCCCCAGAGCAAGGAGATTGGGGGTCCCATTGTGCTGGCCGCATCAGAGAATGACCAATGACCAGGCCCCACTGAGATTGGGGGGGGGGGGGCGGCTTGTGCCAGACACCAGCAAGCAAGAGTCCCTGTCCCAGAGTTTCCAGTCCAGACAGGCAACAGGGCAGGAGGGGAAACTGAGGCAGGACGAGACATGATTTGCCCACAACCACGTATCTGAGCTGGGTATAGATCCCAGGCATCCTAAATCCTTGCCACTAGACAACACCACCTCCCAGCCCCCCTGCTCTAACCCACCAGTCCCCACTCCCCTCCTAGAGCGAGGGCATAATGCACCATGCCTCAGTTTCCCCTGCCGACAAATCGGGTGTACCGACGCCCCCCGCAGTGAATGTAGGAGCGTTGTCTGTGTGGCTACTTCTGCGTGTGGTTCTTGGACACTAGCCTACAGGCGTCTCGTAATTTCTTTCTTCTTTTTTTTTTTTTTTTTGTTTGGGTGTGTGTGTGGCTGATAACTGTTAACTGACCCTTTTCTCCCCTCCTCCCAAGTGCCAGAATCAAGAGAATTCAAAATCAGAAGTCACTTTTGCCGTCAGCCTGGAGAATCTAAATGTCTCTTGATTTTTTTTGGTTTTTTCTTCCGGCTCCTCTCTCACCCGTGATTTTTTTCTTTTTTTAGCTAGATAGCCAGGGCCGAGCACTGAGCACAATGCAGTGCCTAGCTGAATGTACAATGGTCAGGAATCAGACAGCCAGAGCCGCGGAAAAAAAACACAAACCCACCCGATCCGGGATTTTTTTGTTTTGTTTTCGGTTAATTAAACCGCCCGGCGAGAGAGAGCGAGTGCCCGTCACTCCGTAGCCAAAACAAAGCGCCCAGTGGTTAAAAACCCACCGAAGGAATCTCTCAGGCTCCCATCGGAAAAAGCTGGAGTTGATCCTGAGTGTATGTATGACACACGTTCTGTCTTATTCGATCGGACCTCAACTCTTTAAAAAAAAAGACAAAAAACAAATACAGTACGAGAAAACAATGGGCTCCCCCGAGGTGGGAACGGGGGGGGTCTTGATTCCCCCCTGCCCTTTGAAAACCAGCGCGAAAACAAGCCAGCGCTTACATTCCGGCCCTGAATCTTGGTTTCTTTCAAGGAATTTAGGTGTCTTGATTCCCATGGAGACCCAGGGGAGTTAGGCACCTAAATTGTGGTAAAACTCCGGTGTTACGGTTGGCCTTAGAGCTTCCCCCTGACCGAGATCTGAGCCCCCGGTTTGGACCGGACACTGAATCTACAGGTGGGAAGTGTTAGGGACCAGCCAGGGATCACCTAGCTTCACTGGCCCAAAGACCATGTCCTCCAGCTAGCCAAAGGCTAGGGGAAGCGATTGGCGTGAGATTAGAAGTGGAGCGAAGAACAGGTTCCAGGTCCCAGGGCTTCCGGCGGGGATCTGGCCTCCCGTTTTGCCCCGCAGAGCGATGGGTAATCAATCCCAACCGGGATTCGGTATCGTTGACACAAAGAGCTCCCCATCTAAACAGCAGGGGGAGAACCCAGGAGTCCCGGCTCCCAGCTCCCCTCCCTGAGCTGGGGAGCGAACCCAGAACCCTCAATCTACGCGCCCCCCCCCCCGACCCGCTCTCGGCTTGCTTGCAGTCTGAGCGAGGAACCAATTTGAACGTCATCTCTGCCAGGCACTTGGCCATCAAACGTGCCTGGGAGCGAACTTAGAGCGTAGCTACAAAAAAACCCCGATGTGGTGAAATCTCATTTTTTCCTCACCAGTGTCCGGCGCGAATCGTCAATAAATAAGATCCGGGGCGGGGGCTTGTCCCTGCTTCCCCCCGTCCTCCCCGCCCCGAATTTTTTCCCATGCAACCTGCATGTGCAGCTCCTTTAGAGGCGTCTTCCCTCCACTGCACCCCGTTCTGATCTTTCCTCGTCTGCCTTTTCCCCCCGCCCTTCCCGAAGGTTTCGCTCCAAGTACCACCCGGATGAAGCGGGGAAGAGGAAGCAGGAGGCCCACGGCGCCCTGCAGAACCGGCTCAGCGTCTTCCTCTACCTCATGGACAACGGCTGGTTCGAGAGCTTGCAGCTGGATATCGACAAGGCCAACGCGATCGTCAAGATGCTGGACGCCGGTAAGGGGGGCCTGGAATGGGCGGGCTTTGGTTCCGAAGATATTGGGGAGGGGGGGCACCCTGAAACCCACGTTGTTCGGATCCAAAGACCCCGTCCGTCTAGGGATCCAAAACGCCCGACCGTGGAGTCTGAAGACGGGCACCTCTACTGCTGGAGCTGAAGGGAGATCCTCCCCTGGCGGCAGCAGTAGTAGCTCTTTTATCCACCGTTTCTTTTCTCTTCTTGGGAAGCAACTTGGCCGTGGCGGGCGGGGGGTCCCCTCTGAGCCACGCCGACGACCCCAGACTGACCCACGCCAATTTTTTTTTCTCTTTTTCTTCTCCAGCCGTTATCAAGATGGAGGGAGGCACGGAGAACGACTTGAAGATCCTGGATCAGGAGGAAGAGGAGGAGAGGCAGGACAAGGCCGAGTCGGGGAAGAAGGATGAGGCCCGGCTGTCCGACGCCGACCGCAAGGGCTCGGACAAAGAGGACAAGAAGGAAGAAGGCAAAAAGGTCAGGGGAGCCGACACATCCCGGCTCCGCCCGTGCCTCAGTTTCCCCACCGGGCCCTCTTGCCCAGGCGCTGGGGTGATGGGTGCTATCCGAAGGAGCTGGGGGGAGGGGAGGAAGCAGGCGGGGTCCCTCGGGGCGGAGGGCCGGTTTGTTGGGGGGGTGCAGAGTCTCTGACGGGTGCCCCCCGCTCCCCCAGGCTGACGGCGACGAGCCGGTGGAGGAGAAAGCCAAGAAGTCCTCCGAGGAGGAAGAGGAGAAGCCGGAGAAGGAGGAAGAAGCAGAGAAAGAGGCCAAAAAGGTGGGTCCTAAGCCCCACCCCATCCCGGTCCCCTTTGCTCCTCCCCCTCCTGACTGGCCCCGCCCATTTATCCTCAATCCTGTGCCCTTCATGCCAGTCCCTGCCTGCCCTGTGCGCCCCCCTTTTTGCAGGCCCCACCCCCCTCCTGCAGGCTCCGCCCCTTTCCTGCTCACCGGGCGCCCCCTTCTCCTTTCAGGCCAGCAAGAAGCGCAAACGGAAGCGCAGCGGGGATGACAGCTACGACGAGGGGAGCGTCTCCGAGTCCGAGACAGAGTCCGAGAGCGGCCGTGCCGAGGACAAGGAGGGTGAGAGACGCAGGGGCCTGTCCCCTCTAGGGGGCGCCGGCTCCTGCCTGCAGCGGGGACTGGCTGGCTCAGGGGGGTGGGGAATGGGGCAGGAGCCTGTCCCATCTAGGGGGTGCCGGCTCCTCCCCGGCGCGGGAACTGGCTGCCTTGGGGGGCGGGAATGGGGCAGGGGTCTGCCCCCTCTAAATAAATATAAATAAATAAATTAATGGAGATATCCTATCGCCTAGAACTGGAAGGGATCTTGCAAGGTCATTGACTCCAGCCCCTGCCTTCACTAGCAGGACCAAGTACTGATTTTGCCCCAAGTTCCTAAGTGGCCTCCTCAAGGATTGAACTCACAACCCTGGGTTTAGTAGCTCAATGCTCAAACCACTGAGCTATCCCTCTAGGGGGCACCAGCTCCCACCCGGCCCCAGGGCAGGGACTGGCTGGCTCAGGGGGGTGGGGGAATGCGATATGGGGTGGGGACTGGCTGGCTTAGGGGGGTGGGGAATGGGGCAGGGGTCTGCCCCCTCTAAATAAATATAAATAAATAAATTAATGGAGATATCCTATCGCCTAGAACTGGAAGGGATCTTGCAAGGTCATTGACTCCAGCCCCTG